CCCCCTCTCAGAATTGAGTGAAAAAATTAATTTCATGAATAAACTCTATTTTAATTGGTGATCGGGACATAGTACAAGTAAGTATTATAGAACTAATTCTACGAAGGTTTACTTTCGAACACTTTGAGTGAAATTTTGATACTAGAAAAATCATATTTTCGTAGAAGATCAATTTCATCAGTTATCGACTATTCTCCTTTCTTTTTTTTTTAATTACCACAGATGGTAATGCACTTTCGGCATTTAAATCAATAGAATCCAAAATACGATTATGATGTGCAGATGATGATGATGATGATATATTATTATTATTCATTTCAGATTCTGATGAACTACTTTCATCACTTGAAATAGTTTGATTTGCTTGTTGAACCCAACGAACTGTTATTGTCTAAATAGAATTAAAGAATTTAATTAATAATGATTATTTTTGTTTTATTTTATTTACTCACAATTCTCTCTCGACCATCAGTTTGTGCTAATGTTTTATTATCATCTTCTGGATAAATTAATTCATTATTTCGATATAATTCAAGAATACCATAACTTGTTTTATATCTAAATTAAATTTTATTTGTCAACACAATACCTATTAGGACTAAAATCTGACCTTCACATGTGTTCTATCAAGGATAATCACTCGTCTGTATTTTGAATAAAACTTCTTTTTTTTTTACTGATTCTCTACTTTACATATGTTTTTGAACTGGCAAATAGACCTGTTATACAAATCCATTGTATCTACAACAGACTCAATTTAGCTCAGAAACACCGATATTAATCAATTCACGTTTTTTTTATGTGGATCACATGATGACTGTAGTAAGTCAATGCGACACTATCCTTGACATTTTGAATATAAATTTTTATTTACACAAAAAGCAAAAGCTGTTAGTGTAATATTCCTTGCGAGTTTAAAATATGATACATGATGTAGCTATTGTTGCTAATCACAGAGAGATTGTTTTATTATATGTAACACCAATTTTTACAAAAGCTGCATTCTTTAGAATATTCTAAGTTTGTGCTTTTCTTCTCTTTGCTAAGAAACTCTAAGAAAAGAGTCTGACATTTGTTGTTCTCGGTTGCTATGGAAATGTATATAATGACTTCTGTTGACTGTTGTTGCTAGGGACGCAACAGTAGCATTGATCACTGATGCACTAGTCTAGATATATACGTATAGAATAATGGTGGTGAACACATGATAAAATTACGATAATGTAAGATTCATTGTGACTTTTTCGATCATGGAAAGTCTATTTCATGAAACTGAATCTCTAACGAAAAAATCGAACACAAGGACCCGAAAACCTTTAATGCATTTTCTTGAAATGATGTGCAAGACCATCATTAGTCTCTACGTACATGTTTATATCAGTACACTGTCATCATTGTAATGAGAGAGGTAACTGCAAAATCTCTACTTAATACTTAGATTTCTTAAATTTTTTCGTTGAAAAAATATAATATGAGTTCTAGAAAAAAAAATAAATACCGTGAATGAATCATTCGTCGAATATGTCCCCATGTTTCATTTAAATGAGATGAATATTCAAAATCTTCTGTTTGTCGATTTTGTCCCGTATTTAAACGAACAATTAATACTACTGATCGACCACGAAATGCTCTTTAAAAACAAAAATGATCATTTATTAAATTTTCTTTTTCATTTTTTTACCTTGACATAGGTACAATACTTCTATCTTTATGATAAGAATAATCACATTCAGATAAATATTCTCTTAATACAATTAAAATACGTATTAATGCATTAAGTCTATGTTGATGTGTTGTTTGATTAGTTTTTGTTTTAATCATTTCATTAACATGTTGTAAACGTTTAAAACATTCTTGTATAAATGTTTGATGTATACGTTTAATATCATTTTTTAATGATAGACTTATATTTGTATAAATTTCTTTAATTAATTGTATACCACGATTAGCAACAATATCAGTACCATTTAATATTAATTTCCATAAATATTCAATACCAGTAAGATCTTCATCATTTAATAAACGAATTGAACGACGTTTTTGAATAAGTTTATTTGATTGAGCATTAACAGATTTAAAAAAACGATCGAAACAACTAAAAATATCAGAACAAATAAAAAAACATATAATTGTAAAGTTTCAATATTGTTTTCTTTTTTTGTATAAAAATCTGTAAATCGTTCCTATTATTCAAATAATGTATATTCGATTCAATTGAAATATTTTCTACAAGTATTGTACCATTCGTTTTTTGTGTACTCAAAAAGTGAGTACACTCTAGAATCGGTCAGTATGTCCGGCCGGCCGTTTACACGATAACTTTTGAAAGGAGAGTTTAATCGCGATGAAATTTTCTACACAGTTCAGTCTTAACAAT